TATAGGGTAAGGGATCACAAGGGAAATAAAAGTAAGAAGCAGGCTTTCCAGCCGTGTATGTACCTAAGCTAAGGGGTCCGACTCATTACGTGATCCTACCACCTTCTGCATGCACATGAGTATCAATCATTGGAAAACTTTTCCGCGCACACTCGATTAATATCACCCGCCAAATTTGTTACCATTGCACTTACCAGGAACATATTACAGATACTGAATAATAAAAAGAAAGATGAATTTTGAGCTGAATTAGAAGAAGAAGGTCCGTGTATAAAGTCATATGGCATTCATCCATATATGTCCTAACTATATCGATACTATCGCGAAATATATATACGTATCACGACAAAAAAAGAAGACACGCAGAACATTTCAGCAGCAAAGTTAGTTCATCACAACAATCAACATAAGCGAGATTACGGGCCGGGCAGGACAATAGAATTGAGCTGCATTGAAATGTCGGACATGCATATGAGACGATATTAGGCAAGGTGAATAAGATCCTAGTCCTTCCTGACGTGTACGTTGAGTAGAAGAAGGGAATCTATCCGCTCCACTCGCCCATTAGATGTGGGGAAAGGGGTAAATCAATCATTTCTCGGTAAACTAAACGTACATGCATATATATATATATATATAATTGGGATTTCCATGTGATTTATGGAGGTTAAAGCCTTATGAAAGAAAGATAGGCTTCTCGCCTTCAGGCTATTAACCCGGCCCGGGGGGGGGGGGGGGGGGGCATTTATGGAAGTTTTCATTAGGCCCTGGAAATGAGACATCCAAAACGTTCATGGAAGTGCATTTGGAAGCTCCGAGAAAACAATAGTAACTGCAACGCTTTGGTAAGGATGTTTACAAAATATGGCAAGATCTTCTGTCATTGATTGGAATGGTGACTCACTTGCTGTATGTGGTAAAATGGGATTGTGGTTTATCTTCCCCATATGTAAATTACAAATGGCTGAAGGAATATATTATTTTGGCAGGCTCGGCGACTCATAAAGGGTTAGAAGCTGAGGCTGGGACACCGTTAGCGAGTGATATTTCATGCAGGAAGCGCCAGTACAGGGAGACCGTGTTCGTGTTCGAAAACTACAATAGTGTTCCAAACCTATAGGTTTAGACATTATTTCGTGATTGTCTTTAAACTTATCTATTTGGACCATATATAAAACGTTCAGTTTACCTTCTTTTTTGCCATATACTAACATTCATTCCCAACACATTGTAAATAGTGCCACACCAACCTGTCTTTCGCATTCGCATTCGTAATCGTAAACCATCACGAAGCTTAAGTTTCCTACCGCAAACGATCGTAGTTTGTAGCTCGGTTTGATTCTAGCATGAGACACAAAGACTCGGAGAACAAAAAAAAATGGTAAGATTATTTCCAATTCAAGTTATGACACCAATACTATTTCCAGGAAGAAGGAATCAGTACGGTCAACCCGGAAAATCTTCCGTCAATGGTCTTGTTGACCCCTTAAAGCCGATAATAAGTTTGTGAACCTGGCGCTAACTCTGATCTGTGGTTATTGCTGGAAGCGGTACATCGGTAACTACAGAAATATTCGGCTTCAATTTCCATGACCTGATTCCTAGGGCTGAAAACCCCTCTGACTTTGATGCCGTCGGGCTGGAACCCGGAACTTTAACTGACCCGTCGAAGCATCTCTCGAAGTTTTCTGATTCCGTTCTATCTCCGGTTCCGGTGCTGGAGATGTACGTATATTACAATCATTGTATTAGAATCCTTGGTGATTATAGGTTCAGTGCTGATACTAATATATAACGATGGATATTGCGAAATATGTGAGGCCGGATATGGATCGCTTCCATCATCATGTCGATATTCCGTGCCAACGAAGTTCAAAAATCCTCGTCGTAAGGCGTCGTAGTTGTTGGCTCATGGTTCCATGCGTTCTAATCTTGTATACTACATGTATGTTTGCCTTGCTTGCGTGTATGGTTAGAAAGCTTTGCCAAAGATTATACCGTGCAAGGAACCGTTATTAATCCCACCATGGGGCCCTCCCAGTGAACTATGCGCTTGTCTAATGATTAATTTGTGACTGGCCAATAGTCAATGATTCATGTTTTATCACTCGCCAGAATCCAAATAAATCCGGCCGCGAAACGCCGATTACCAGAGATATGTGCACGTGGGCAATCTTTTTGATTACTTTAATGGATGAATATGCTCATCCTTGAAGAAATCTACACCTTGTAACCCACGTATGTCAGTTCTGCAGGGCTCTGTCGGCTGAATCACATAATCCACCATCACCCGCTTTTCGACCCCCCATACAATGCACAAAGAGCTGATTAATCGCGAAAACACGAGACAGTACCTACAGTACTCTTCCCAGCCAGTTCTTCCTAAAATTCGTTCATTTGTTTACCGAAGTCGCTTCCGGCTTGTACTGTAGTTACACCTGTAAAGTCTCGATCAAGTCTCCGAGACCGATCCCCGTGCCAGGATACACCAGCTCATAAAATCACCCCTCAATTTGTTTCCGAGTGACCCCGATATCCCGCCTTGAGGAGGGGGGGGACCAAACATAATGGCAAATATTGTTCTTATTGGCTCCAGTATTATACGACCCTCCCCCACTCCCCACCCCGGGCGCCCGTTATCTTAAATTTGTTTCCTCGGAGTGTGGTGGGTACCTAGCCTAATGAGTCGATTTGATTTAAAACGGGTTGCGGCCCCCGGAGAGCTAAAGATGCCCAAAGCTCACAAGTATTTGGCATTCTGGCAAAGGAACCCGCCTCAACACGGCAGGGTGGAATGCCGATATCTTAGCGGATATGGCCTTCTTTTCGACCCCATGGTCTCGGCAACGTCAGAGATTGCCTCATTTTGCCTTGTTTGGAAACAATAATGTGTGAGGCGGATCGCCTAGAAAGAAGGTCTCGGTACATATCTGTGATATTAACTACTTCCAGTTTCCACCAGGGACTAGGGGAACAGTTTATATCATGCGCATGTGCATTGAGAGTTTTGAAAGCCGTCCCTTGGCTACGGACGCTGTAGTTAATTATAGTAAACTGAACATCTGATCTACTGAGAGTAAACGGTATACGTACTGAAGCCAAAGGAACGAATCATAACCGCTAGATGCATCAAGAGAAATCTACTCACCGGAGCGGTTGGTACGGGGGGTTGAATGCAAATTACAGGGACAGGCGAAACAAGTCTCACAAACTAGCCGGTAGAAATGTATCAAGCTTTATAACAAATCTTGAAACTAAACTTGAGCGCCTATCATAAGCTTCAAAGGTATTTTAGTAGTTGAGTATATCTCTCTATATATATTCATTCAGATAAGGGGAATTGAAACGCGGGTAAGAGCTCTTCTGTACATACGTTATGACAGTATTTGAGATCTTGCCGTCTATATGCGACCTGAATGGAGTTCGCTATTAATGGTCCTGGTATGATTGGTGTATGAAAACTTCGCATGAGGTATGTGTGGTAGACAAAGCAAAGGGGAATAACTACGATCCAGATATCTCAACACCTAGTGCAGCTACTTGAGGTCGGTTTCGTAAAAGATCTGCGTGTGGTTGGTTGATCTCATAGTGTTGCTTCATCAAATATCACTCAGGTTCGTCAAGCGCCGCCCTGGTTTTCAAAAAGAAACGAATGAATCAACCCAGACGGTTAGCTTTGAAAAGATAATCAAATAGATAAGCTCTGTAAGCCGACGGATTGGGGATGCCGAAGGAAACAAGGCTAGATAGTACCAAAAGTCTGCCAAGCCTCGGTGAGCGAACCATAACCTGTGATCAAGCTGGGTCTTTTTTTTTTTTTGTTTAATTCATTAATTGCATGATCAAGCTGGGTCTAGAGCGAGACGGCATTCAACAACACTTAGTGGATTATATAATGATAGGTATACCTAGATCAGTGGAATCGAACAGTTCTCCAAGAAAAGGGAACATCAAATTTACATAGGGAAAGTTAGTTTAGGTACTACTAAGTGAAGGCTTCGGTAAATGAGTCAGTAAAATAACATGAGGCGAACTGAACCGATACAATACCACTTTGAGGATACTCTTATTCTAATTCCGGGGTATTTCGAGGAAAGGTATAAGGTAAAGCGTAGATATCGAGATGGAAGCCTCCTCAATAGGACATAGTCTCTGGACTGAGTATATATTCCAGATTTCTGGAAGAGCTCATTCCTAAGTAAATTATATAGGGCAGATAATATGAAGTACTCTAATTGGCAGAGATCTCATGGATATTATGGTCCACGATACCACGCCTGAGATAACTTATTGTCTGAACGTCCAATATTTGGTCTAGGTCCGCTTCTACGTTGATGTAGGCTTTTTCGTCAGCAGATGTACGGTGTCGGACAGCCAAAACCAGCCGGCCAGAGCAACCACCGACTCCCCTTCGCCCCATCGACTTTCAACAACGCAACACTTGTCCAAAAATAATGTTCTTTTGTAAAATGGGTCTAATCATGGTTGTAAACATCCGCATAAAAGGGGATTTAAAATAATTAAGAACTGGCTGCACTATGACCTCTCAAACATTTGGTGCAATCTGCTCGAAAAAAACATAGGTGTGAAATAATAACTTTAATAGCTTTATGCCAAGGCGGCCACATTAATTGGGATAATTCTTACCCTATTTGGATGATTAGATGATTATTATTACCCGATTAGGACTAGTTTCTGGCTTGAAAAGAACATGAGGGTTGATTTTGACTGTCCGGCGCTGTACATATATCGAGCGTTATGAGGGTAAGTTCGGACTTGTGTTGATTGGAAGTGATTTGATATATATTAATGAAGCCAATAGCCAATGGGCCATTGATTGGTGGGGTAAAAGAGGCCCTCTGCACCCACTATGTGGTGCAGGTACTAGCCATCGTGGTTCTGGTCTTACTATCTCTCTTACGAGATGTGAATAGGTAATGGTTGTCATTTTGTTCTAGACTGTGGATTTATGATGGTCGTAATTAACAATATGTATGCATATGGGAAAGGGTGGTGGAGATGACGAGAAAATGTTGAGGGGCTTGCCCAAGAGCTATGCAGAGGTGGGTGCGCCGCTGAAACCCTTGTGGTAGCGTACATCTAGCTACCGGTGCCCACGTGTAAGATATGCCACTAAGGCGAGCCAATATCAAAACCTTATGTCATTGAATCCGGAAAAGGCACTAGTCCTTACGATTATCAGCTTCACTCCGCCCGTTTCTGATGATGCCTTTTCCACTGAGACTTTGCACTAATTCCCTCTCAATTCCAGTGTAAATACATTTATGTCGTCTCATGCCATTGGAATGAATCTTTGGCTGTATATGCGCTGGGTAGGCGTATAATCAGTCCTGGCTTTTTGATACTACATGTATGTGTTCTCATTGACCTTTTGCGCTGCAGATAGCTGGGTGCTGGTGTGTAAGATGATTATGTTGATTGTCTTCCTGTCATCGGTTTGGCGGTATGTAGTACTCCATATAGCTCGCATTTCTTGATAGCCAACACTTTTTATACATAGTATGGACACAATGTCTAGATATTGAAGGAAAATATTCATTTATATATAAGATCTATATATAATCGGAGGCATTTTGAGCGTTTCGAATCATATGCAATACCTCCAGAATCGATCCTTACGGCTGGGATCATCATGATCTATATGAAATAGATTCCTCTATAGCCAGTAGCTCGAACTAGATGAGTAACTAAGAAGACTTGCTTTGGGCATGATAGAATCGCCATAGACCTCGATACCTCGAGGGAGAGGCCTTGAGCGGCAATACCCCATATTCTGCACTGCTACTAATACAGAGTGAAGAGTTGAGCTGTCTACCTAAAGCGAGAATCGCGGAGCTGTTCATGTGTGACAACCATAGAAGATAGATATCACCTGTCTTGTGACTTCAAAGAGACTTAATCCTTTTTAATTTGTTTATTTTCAAGTAGTTATTCAATAGTTACCGTTTCTTTGACCGAGTTGAGCACATCCACCCACCAGTTCTTGGTTTCAAGAAAAGAGAAGAAAAACAACGAGAACAGGAAAAAAGAGGGAAAACAAGAAAAAATAAGAGAAACTAGTTTCGCAGGTAAATGATAGCTCAAATAGAGTAACTTGCCAAGAAAAAAAGCCTTTTATCTATCTCATACCCGCAAAATAACCAGCAACCGCAAGCAACAAACTGCTTAGTATACTCATTGATCGTCTTACTCATCCCAAACCAGATCAAGCCATGATACCATAAAATATCCCATAAAGCCCCCTCCCCAAATCCTGAGAAATTGGAAGTAAGTAAAATTCATATCCTCCCCCTGCCAACTATTTCGTAGGATCAATTCCTCTGCGACCCCAACCCCTCGACTTCCAAATCTTCCTCACTCTCATCCTGCAGCTCATCTTCGAGCTCATCTCCACTATCACTGTCCCTCACCATAACCTCGTCATCGGCACTAACGCTCAACCCACCACCTCTCCATCCTCCACCAGTAGTCCTTCCAGCCACTGGCCCTCCCTTCTTGCCCATCAACCATCCGAGAATCAGTCCACCGCTGATAAAGTCCTCGCCGTCGAGGATCGCACCATTCTCCCGGATCTTGACGCGCTGGCGCCGGTAGTAAATCCACGCAAAGTCAATGTACAGGGCGGTCTGTATGACGCCGAAGATGAAGGCATTGGGATCGAAGAAGCCGTCATTGCTGTCCGTAAGGCGGATAATCCAATTGGGGATGTAGAGGGCGCGGTACAATCCCAGCGCGAGGAGATAGTAGGATGTGATCGCGGTGGGGATCTGGGTATGGCGGAGGAGCGTAATCTGCGGGATCACTGCAAATGCTTCGAGAATAAGAGAGAATGTACGGAGTGTCTACGGACGGCGAATGTTAGCCAATCTGTTCCCCGCCTCGTGGTGCATGTTATACGCGACGATGAAGAGAGTGGATATATATACCTCAAGGAACCAGTCGCCCGCCCCGCCAAATATCCCCTTCATTATTGGGGCTGCGATGGCGCTCGCGCCTAATATGATTGCCGCAACCTTCCACTCCTTCTCCTCTTCGCGCGTTCGGGCGTAGACCTTGACCATCAAAAAGAGGATATATAACGAGCTGCCGATGTAGTAGAGCTTGAAGATGGTATTATACCCAATATCCCACCAGAACAGGAGATCGAGATACCGCGTCAGGAACACCAGCGTATAAAAGAGCTGTGTCAACAGCGATATGCCCTCCGCGCTGCGACGGCGGTGGATTGTGAAGATCAAGATCAGGATCGATATCGCATGCGTGAAATCCGCAGCGACACGGAAGACATTGAACATCATCTTTGCGGATGAGCAATTTTGGGGGGAGGGGTTTTCTGAACGAGAGCTTAGATTGTGTGATAGCAAGCAGTGGTGGGTGTAGTGGGGGGGGGGTTCGGTGGAGAATATTGAAATGCGATGTGGCCCCAAAGGTTGACGATGACGATACGTAGGAGGGGGTGACACGTAAGGGTTAGGGGAATGCGGGGGAGAGCTGTAGCTGCGGTGTAACGCGAGGTGTGTTTCGGTGGTTGCTATTTTAGGTATTTTCCTCGCTGAAACCGCAAGAAAGCTCTCTGGATCTCTGGAAAGCTCAAGTGGACGATATATCAGTTTCAGAGGAAGACTGTAGACGTTGGGAATCTAGAGAGCGGGGGGGGAATCTATCTGGAGAAACACGGTGGTGTAGGTCTATAGTACACATATACAAGGATATCAGGTAAACTACGTAAGCCTCAAAGGCACAGGCCCCAGCAATTCCATAAATAACTCCTCGCGTTACTAAGGATATATATACGGGGAGTGCTATATATGATTTCATCTAAATACTTCGACATATACTTACTGCTCGGTGGTATCGTCGTTGGAAGTCCTACTTCGGGCGTCATTGGACCAAGTAAATATTTACACCCAATTTCCAGAACGAAACACCGTCTCCTCACATGATAAAGTCAACACGCACACAAGCCACTCACGAATTCAATTGCGCCAGTCCTGTGGCACTGGATTTATAGTTTAGCGTAGGATGTAGTACATATTGTAGTACACGCACATATGATGCGATACTCTAAAAGACACGATTCATGGGTGCATCTATGTGCAGAGAGGAGTACGTTCGTTCTCGCCCAGCCCAGTATCAAACATCAAACATCACCGTCCTTTCATACAAGTCCGACGCAACTTCTTCTTCCACGCCGTTATCTATGTACGTCTGTCTCAACTATATATACCCAATCCTCTACTCTACATAAAAATCAAACATTGAGCTTGTATTCTGCAACGGTGGGGTGCATTGTTGAACAATTGATCGATATATCGACCCTCGCCCGCAAAAAACTCTCCGTCGACATCATCCCGAGTGATAAACACGTACTCTGATTCAAGCAGTGTCTAAGACAAACACACCCAGCTTAAGCCCCAGTTCCTATCTTTGTCAACCTCGATCGCAGCGGCGGTGACAACTGACAACAGATCCAGAAATTCATATTGCAATCATAACACCCAGTACCATTTACCGGGTTACTCACCTTGCTGTAACACACTCCCGTCCAGATCTGGATTATTATTAACTAATCTCTCCCCAACTAGACTCAATGGGTTAGGGCTCAGCTAATGGTCCACGGTGTTAATTGGTATCTAGATGCTCTAATATCGGTTTGCTCGGCGGTGACAAAGCGCACATTGGTCCAGACAAAAAAGGGGGGATAATAGATCGAGGTAGCTATCCTTCGCTGAGACAGATTTGTTTCGCACGTATGCGACCACTACTTACGAGATGCCTAGACATGTATCTATACACCGACTATCACTCAAGCTAGGGTCATGGGGGGGGGGCCATTGATACATGGAATTAAGGGTGTCTTGGGTGACCGCAACTATATCCGAGTGCTGTCCTGTGATTCACGCTGGAACTTCCCGCGTGGTTGAGGCCGACCAGGTCCAAGCTACAGACAGACAGAGATACCTAGTACTTTCCTAGTCAGCACAAGAATTAGCAAACTAGTTAATACGCGCAGCGCTTAACAGCAGTACTGCAATAGTGAGTTGCATGAGAATATATATATGGCTTGGCAAATTGGACGAGAGTCAATATTTGGTGTTTTTGGGTGGCTTCTGCCAAACAATGAAATACATATTTAAAATCGATCTAGAGCGCTCATGATCACTTGACGAGGGAGAAGAGAAGCCCCGAACGTCCCCTCATGTGTAACATTGCCAGCCAGCCAGGGGTAGAGTATCATCATTGCGAGGCCATAAGGCTTAAAGCCACAACGATTACATTTGCAGCGCTTTCCGGAGCGAGAAGGGTTGTCATCGAGGTGATCCCACATTTTCGGGTCAGTGCATCGGATGTACGATAAGGGACTATCATACAGAAACTCGAGTAAAGAGGCATTTACAACCCGCGGCGAAGTGTTCATACCTGCTGCGACATACCATGCTTGATCTTTGATCGAAGCTGGCCAGCAGAAAGAAAGAAGGAAAAAAACGAATCACCACCTTCAAGGGTTTCCGTGTTTTGCGAATCCCTGCATAATTACCGAAACTCCCTCAGTACCTACATATACACACATACACTTACCGGTACGGAATTAATTTCTACGACCCTGCCGTAATCAGCGCCCTAATGATTTTGTGATCATTTCCCGGATATATTGCAGGATACGAGGGTATCAAAATAAGCTAGTGGAGCGTGCGGACTTCCGCGTGAGTATAATAATATATGTACTTCTTGGGTTAGAGTTACATATTATGCTCATGTGCCGTTATGGCCGAGACAGAAGAAGAGATTTCACTGCATGTCTAAAAGCATGATCTAGAATAGGTATTAAAGTAGTACATAACCTACTCTAGGGTTTCTTGGTGAGACATGACTAGCGCAGTATGACTCCCTCTCTTAAAGAAAATTGAAGAGATTAGAGGAGTTTCTACCTAACTCACCTCACGAGAATAAAAGCCGCGGGGTAGCAAGTAGTGGTAACACCGCCCCGCGGTTCATATGGCTACCCCGATTCCCAGCGAACGGCGGCTGAAACAAAAAAGCGATGGATGTTTGTCGAGAAATGTTTGCGAGTCTTAATTATCGGGTGAGCTTTCCCCCTCTGGGTGAGATGATATGGTGGACGTTTACTGAGAAAGAATCCCGTGCAGTGCACGGTGCAAGTAGGCGTTTATTCCGCATTCTGTTGATCCGGGAGAGAAGAAGTATTGTAGTAGTGGAGGTGGATTACTTCAGACGGTTACAAGGCATCGCTGGCATGTCTGCGGGCCGGGCATTGGGCGCGCTGGACGTGATGCTATTGCTACCGCTGGAAGAGAGGTGTGTAAGGATTAATATTGCAGATTCTAAAATGCCGTATGAGACTGCACGGCACATCACTCATCAACGCCGCAAAGATCAGCGAGCTGGAGTAGTAATACAGGTAGCACCAGAAATGTTTCGCCTGTAGCTCTTTTTTTACCGGTTAAATGATATATGTTTTGTTTTGCTGCCGGACGCAGGGTTATGAAATTTGTACTCAAAGAGCATTTTCCTTGAGAATCGCAGGTTTTGGGACTTGGTCCCCCAGATCAAGGAAGCTGCCGCCTCTCGCGCTTCAATCAATCTCGGTCGGTGGCATACCGGCGTGCCCCTCGGAACCGTACCAATACGCAAGAAAATTGGCTGGCAGTATGCCGTCCATCGAGCAGATCTGCACCGCATACTCCATCTCAGCACTTCCACCCCCGAACTTGACTATTCCTACCGCGTTTCTGCCATTCGGGCAGACCCCAGAAGCAGCAGTGTCTCTGTTGTCAGTCCCGGGATAAAGTCTTGTCTGCGAAAACAGAATACATACGCAGCATTCCGTATTATCGTCCCTGGCTATCAAACGTGCAGTGGCCCTTCTGATATCGTGATTACATCTAGTGGGCTAGGACGGGTACGTGATGGCCTATCCATTAAAGGGACACTAGCACTTTTGATATGGTCTAGTACACCCGGGGAATCTGGAGTCGAAAGAGGATGCAGTGAACATCCCGGGAGAAGAAAAAAGTAAAGAGGTGGGAGCTGCGTACAGTCGCAACTCGATATGCCGGATTGCCAAGATTCGAAGGATTTCATACGGGATAGCAAAAAATCCGGGATAGCAAATTGATTTTGCAGTAAAAAAAACCAAAACCCCAGAGGATTTCGTACGGGATAGCAAGGGATCCGGCGTATTGAGATCCGGCATATCGAGTTGCGACTGTATGTATGCATTGCTATCTTAGGTCTTGGGTTAAGGGTAATTTTACCTTGTTGGGGAGATGCCTGCCATCCCATGCTGTGAGCTGTAAAACAAATATCTCTCCAATCAGATGTTTCCCATTGCTTACACTGGAATCTTGGTATGGTCGAGTGGGCCGTGCGTAGCACAAGGTGGTGCCCAGGCGGTTGCAGCAACTCTTGTCTTACAGGTAAGATCTCCAAAGCCTTATTGTTGCTTGGCCTATGAGCTTTTCCAGACGTCTCGGGTTGAGATTATTCAGCGGACAACAGATAGAACCCGTGACTGATTGCATCTGGAGGATGGAGACCCAGGAATACCGCGATGAGCATATCGAAGCGGCGATGGTCCGGATAGACAGAGTGATTTGCAAGTGCAGAAACATCTGTGGGGATGGGGTGCAAAAATTAACGTATCAGATCCATTAGGATGTACCTTTCCTTGTATAGTAGAAGTTGAGTACGTTAGGAAAATGCCACGCATAATATAATATACTTTCTTATAAACAGAGTTATGCAATGTGTCAATTACAAATTGTTTTCCATTTCTTTGATTATTAGTACCTACATGTACCTTACCCTGGAACCGCATAAAACTATAAGGCCCATTGCCCCGTAGGCTTTCCAGAACGTAAGCTCACAATAGTCTTCTGAATACAACAAGGTTAAAATAAGTGTTATTTATGTATTTTAATTGTTCTACTCTAGTCTTTTGCGATCTGGTTCATCGGAAATGTCTTGGAACGAGGGTTAGGGCTAATGACGATATGGAGTGAGTCTCAACGACACCACACGTTTCATCTCACCTAACCGTCACGTCAAGACCATCAACTAGACGCTTTCACGGGATATGCTTAACATGCCAATTCCAAGATTTTGAATGGAAGCCAAAAAGCAATTGATCGGCCATCTGCGTATAACTTATCACTCCGGCGTATATCTGGGATTGACGTACCCTGTGCTGACCGTATATACCGCATGGAGTATAGTGAAAGCGTCCACTATATTAAAAACGCTACAGCGGAAGCTTGCTATATGGTACCTTTTATAA